CAGGCAGTGTTGGACCACCAGTTTCTGCCCAATCCCCACAGGCCACACTGAGGGACCCCACCAGTGCATGAATCCCGGGCCTCTAGTCCAAGTTATAAAGATACAGCAATCAAGACAGTGTGGTATTGGCACAGAAATAGAAACAGGTGTCAATGCAACAGAACAGAGTTCAGAAATAGGCCCACCAAATACGACCATTCAATCTTTGACAAAAGGACAAAGACAATTAGAGGAAAAAAAGATAGTCTTTTCAACAAATGCTACTTGGAATAATTGACCATCCCTATGCAAAAAAAATAACTGTGGTCTAAATCTCACTCCATATATAAAAACTAGAGACCCTGTGCACGAATTCGTGCATGGGTGGGGTCCCTCAGTGTGGCCTACGGGGATTGGGCCGAAACCAGCAGTCCAATGCCGCCTGCCACTCCTGCCTGCCACTCCCACTCATCCCGGCCCCACTTTGCCTGCAGCGGGTTCGTGCCCAGTCAGTCCTGATCAGGAAAGGCTCGTGCCGCCACAGCGGCACTCGCCAGCCATGAGCCCTGCGTCTGGTGCCTGTCCCAAGGGTGGGAGGGTGGGGGTGACAGGACGCAATCAGCCCTCCAAGCGGGCGGTGGGACACCCTTGCAGGCCCAGGATTCGGATCCATCTCACTGATGTTCGCACTGGTTGTTGGGAGTCACCTGGCAGACACTTTTAGTATATCATTTCTTCCTTGCAGAGCACCTAGGGAGGGGAAGCAGCTGCAGTGCCCGAGGCTGACTTCCAGGAGGCCAGTGGTGCTGTCAGGATCATGCCAGCGTCAGTGCCTGGCCGATTCTCCAGAGATTGAACCTGTAGGACTACTGAGGGGGTGAGTGCCTGCCACTGGGCTGGTGGGTTACCAGGATGGAGCAGTCAGCTGAGCGACACTCCCACTTTGGGAGCACAATGACCGCCATGGGGCAGCTCCTGTGCTGATCATCTGCTCCCTGGTGGTCAGTGCACATCATAGCAACCGGTGGTTCAGTCATTTGGTAGTTCGGTCACATAGGCTTTTATATATATAGATTAACCCAGGGCATCAGAGATCTAACAGAAAATGTTAATCTGTAAAACTTTTAGAAGAAATCACAGAAGCAGTATCTGTGACCTGGACTTAGATAGGTAATTTAGATATGACACCAACAGCACAATCCATGAAAAACAAAAATTGACGACTTGAACGTCATCAAAACGAGAAATATTTGCTCTGCAAAAGCATTGTTAAGAAAACAATATGATCTGCTGTAGACTTGGGGGAAAATATTTGCAAATCAGTGATCCAATAAAAGACTGTGTACAGAAAATACAAAATTTACAACAACCCAATTTTTAAAAAACAAGCAAAGAAAGACCTGAACTAATACTTCACCAAAGAGCATCTACAGATGGAAAAGGAGCAGCCGAGATGATTCTGGACCTCAACGGCGTCGTCAGAAACCGAAGCCACGCCACAGGCATTGCGGGGCTCGCCCTGAGCGGAAGCCTGGTACCGCCAGGTGATGGGCAGCCCAAGCGCCCGCCATTCCCACGATGCACTCTGACAGAGCGGCTGACTGTGTGTTGCAAAGGTAAGCACTGACCATAAGACCCTACAATCCCACGCCAAATGTTTACCCAAGGAAAACATATGAAACAGTGTATGAAACATATATGAAAACATATACTCACACAGACACCGGGACCCGAATGTTTGCAGTGGTTTTATTCATAATTGCCAAGAACTGGAAACAAGCCCCCTGTCCATCCGCCTGGGGGTGGGCAACCAGAGCGAGGTACACTCACGGGTGGAATAGGTTCAGCAATGAAAAGGAAGCGCGCATGCGTGTCACGGCATGATTGACTCTCACGTGCATCGTGCTAACGTGGAAAGGCATATTCAAAGGGTCCTATACTGTATGATTTCGTGTATGAGACCCTCTGGAACAGGCAAAATTATGCGGACAGAAAACGGATGAGTGGCTGTCAGAGGCTGAGGGGGGAGGCTGGTATGGATTATAAATGGAGGCAGGTAAACTCTTTGTGGTGATGGGTATTTTTAAAATCTTAATTTTGATGGTAGTTCGGTGACTATTTGCTTTGATCAAATGCATGAAACTGTACAATTAAAAGGTGTATGTAATTTTTACCTCAACATACTTGATTTAACAATGTACTAGAATAGAAATATAAATTTATAGGAAAGTTGTTTCAAAACAGGAAGTAAAAGGAATGCCAATAAATACAGTCACCCTAAATAAATAATGCTACATTCATATGGTGTAGTCTGTTGCAGCTATTAATATTAATAATCAAGCTTAAAGTTCTTACTAATCATTAACTACAAATGCAGGTTGAACAGCAGCGATAAATTTCTTTTAAGAGAACCATAATGGAGAAGAGCAAGACTTAAGTGCAGATACCCCAAACCTCTGTTTTCGCCTTTTCATTGATCTGAGTCATGGCTTGTTAAAGCCAGAGGAAATGGAAGCACAGAGCCATCCTGGAAAACAACCTCACAGCGTCATCCACCCAAGCACAAGAAAAAGAATCTGAAACCAAATGTCCAGCTGAAGAGTATGTGCCTTTGTTTCCCGCCTCGTCTTTATAGTGTTTAAACAAGGATTCTTTTTTTTAAGCCTTGACTTTCAAAAGGTCACATGCGCGACATTTCCCTAAATCTTTGTCTGGTCTCACAACAAGGTGAGTTTCTTAATGCTGCCTCGATCAGGTGAAAGGCATGCCGGGGGGAAAGTTAAATAAAAAGCTATCTCGAATAGCATTTTTTAAAAGGCAAACATCAACCTTGTAAGTATTAAAAGCACGTCCTGAAATCCACTCTGATGACAGTTTAAGAAAGCCGCTTTTATGTGCCCGGAGCCCTGCTCGGCAAGGCCTTTCAAATGCGGGTGTTTACCTAAAACTACAGGCCAGGGCTGGGAGCTGGCCTTGAAGAGGCGCCTTTTGATTGCACATCGTGAACTCAATCTTTAACTAATAAATTGTCCCACACCTTTGTCTCGCCCAAGAAAGGCAGAGGTCTGCTCCTCACAAGAACGTACAAGCCTCTTTAAAGGAATAGGTTTTGACTCTGCGTCTCTGTACTTGTTGACTTAGAGTTTCTATGAGTGACAATGCACATCACGGGGTTTTTTTAACTCTGTCATCTGTGCTACTGAGTGTACTTTGACTCAGATCAAAGTTGAAAGCTTCTAGAAAGTACACAAACCACAGTGTGACAAATAGCATGCTGTGTTTGACCCAGCAAACAATAAATCACTTTCATCCATCCAGGTAAAGAATCCCCTGTTTTCAGTGCTAATTCTGAAGTCTGAAATGACAGAGCTCCGCCACATTCTCAAAGAGCAGAGAGCTTTAAATGAGGAGAAGACGTAAGAAGAATCACATTCTGCAAGCGCTGAGTCTTGCTGTTCAAAGGCCTGTGGTTTCACTTCGCTCTTGTCTGAAACGCACTGCAAAACTTAAACCAAGCAGGACACGTTCAGATAAAACATGTTAAAGTGTCTCTGTTCTTGGTTGAAAAGTAATTTGTGGTATATCTGTGCCCCACAAACTGTATCAAAAGAAGCTATATGATTCAGCAGCACTGCAACTACCTGTTCATTTCCTGTGTGAACGTTTACCATGAGGGGCCCTTGAGCAAGGACTGGTAATTAAGTAACTGGAACAGAAGCAAAGTTAGCTGGGGTTTGCCGGACCTGGGCTGTGACCACTACGAACAGCAAGGACCATGACTGTTTCCTGAGCGCTTGCTGTCTGCTAGGGACTGGCTCAGCGCTGTACACATATTACCTCATATAATCTCTAAGAAGTCCTGCGAGGTAGATATCATTATTCCCATTTTCCAGATGAGGAAACTAAGTCACAAAGAAGTTAAATAGTTTGCCCCGGATCACACACGTCTAGTGAGTGACAGAGCCTGGGTTTGAACTAAGCCCCTTTACTTCCAAAACCCAAGCTTTGTGGCACCAGGGTGAGAACATTTTACTCTAATACACAAGTGACTATAATGGCTTAAGAAGTGATGCACTGATCTTTTCTTTCAAACGCCTTCCTGAATCTAACAGCTCCCCTACTTTACCCCTTTCAGAGTGGTTTAAATGGCATGGGCCTCCCACTGTGGAAAATTATGAATGCAACAAAACTCACTGGGTACGGACGGGGTACTGACAGGATGCTGGGGGTACCGTAACTGAGAACGCGAGTTCTTTTTTATTTTGTACAGAGAAGTATGTTCTGGATTTATCTGAAAAATGTATTTTTGGATTCAGATGTCCTGCTAGAAACTACAAATTGGTAGATCTAAAATTTAACTAACCAGTCAACATTTCAAACTTTCACTAACGCTTCTGGCCTCTACAATGACCCTGAATAATTAGCGAACACAATCTGTGTGATTAGGACAGCAACTGGTAATCAGCAAACCGAACGCAGAAACAGCACTGCTGAGTGACAGCTGCCGGCCCCCCCCATCGGCACTGTGCGCAGGCAGGCGACCAGCGTCTCAACCCCGCCGACCAAACGCTGGCGGGGACAGCAAAGGCATCCTCAGCACCGGCCCAAGCTCAGCGCCCCCCACTGGACTTCCCCAGTGATATTTACACTGTACAGCTGTCAACATCTTTTTTAAAGGTTATTCTAGAAATCCCTCCAGGAAAAAAAAGGATAAGAAAACTTTCACTAGGAATCTAAAGCTCTTTTCTTTTCACATTAAACTATTTTTGATGAGCTTTGGTCACCTGAATCGATGTAGGAATGTCCTCACTCCTCCACAAACCTGGGCTCTGACCCTCCAAGGACCCGACCCTCGAAGCCCTTTTGCCTCCTTCCCAGGAACCTGCCCCACTGCCCGGCCACGGAGAGCGCCTGGGCCCCCTCCCCCACACTGGCTCCATCACCTTCAGCCTGTAGAGCGCTCTGCCCAGCTCCACGCCCCTCCTCCCAGGGACTCTGCGCCTGCCAGCGGTCAGTCTCACCACAGTGCAGTGATGGCCGTGTCTCCCCGCGCTGGCCCCGCGTCCCCCGTTGTCACCAAATAGCACCAGGTCTTCATGTCATTCTTCTTCTCCTTCTAGTCTGTGACCCTGAGAGCTGGCTCTTAACTGATTTCACTTGGTGGTCTCCGTAGGTCCCGGTGTGGTACTGTCACAAAACAGGCATTTAATAAGTATTAGGGGAACAAATGGGTCAAACCTGGAAGTAAAGACAGAGCAACCTGTTCTCCTAACTTGGTTATGCTCTTAAAAATTATATTTATTTATTTATATATATATATAGCTGTAACCGGTTTGGCTCAGTGGATAGAGCGTCAGTCTGCGGACTGAAGAGTCCCAGGTTCGGTTCCGGTCAGGGGCATGTACCTTGGTTGCGGGCACATCCCCAGTAGGCGGTGTGCAGGAGGCAGCTGATCGATGATTCTCTCTCATTGATGTTTCTAACTCTCTATCCCTCTCCCTTCCTCTCTGTAAAAAAAATATATATATTATATATAATATATGTGTGTGTATATATATATATATATATTATTGATTCAGAGAAGAAGGGAGAGAGAAAGAGAGAGAGAGAGAAACATCAGTGATGAAAGAGTATCATTGATCGGCTGCCTCCTGCACGCCCCCTACTGGGGATCAAGCTCGCAACCCGGGCATGTGCCCTGACTGGAATTGAACCATCACCTCCTGGTTCATAGGTTGACGCTCAACCACTGAGCCACACTGAGCATATTGTTATGCTGAGAATAACACAGAAATGGACATCAGTTAAAATACACATGAAAACTATGCTGTACACCTGAAACTAATACAAAATAATATTGAATGTAAACTGCAATTGAAAAGTAAAAAAAGAAAGGAAAATTTTGTTTTAAATATACATGAAAATACTACCACACCAAACCACTGACAGGATTATAACAAAAGAGAGCAATTTCAGAAAAAGAGGACTAACTGTGCCTGTATCGCTCCTTTATTCTCAGTGTCTTTTGGCACTTGCGTGCCACTAACCCTCTTTCTGTTAAAGAGGTGAGACTTGGTAAAAGCTCTTACACGGCCTTTGCTCTGAGAGAGTGTCTGCTCCGGTCTGCGTGAGTCTGCCAAGGGTCATAAAGCATTTCCAGGCGGTCACAATGGGGCGCTGTTGGGGCCCAGGCAGCTGGACCCTTTCAGTCCCGCCCCATGCACTGCTGTGTACACATGTGATGCCATCTGCCCAGATGCACACACCTGCCGCCCTTCAGGCCCCCGCTCCCTGGCTTTAGGATTCATTTTGAAGGTAATAAAGAGACAGTGACAGTTATTATAATAGGACTTCATAGGAATGGAAAGTATAACATGCGAGACAGTTGCTCCCGAAAGGCTCACGACTAAGAAAGAAAGCAAATGCAGAAGAAATGAATGGAGCCTTCACCACCAGCGAGAGGAGGCAAGTAATGGTGAAAATCCTGCCCCCATGTCACATACGACATCAGAGTTTCACAAAAACTTTTACCTCCAATTACTTATGCTTTGAACAAAACACGTATGTGAACTACAGAAAAGCAGGTTCGTGATCTATGCGAACATCTGACCTGCAAATTAACAAGTCCTGGACTCAGGGGCGAAGACCCCATTGGAAAGTCACTGATGCTGTCATACTTGAGAACAACTGACAACCAAGGCCCACTCCTTGCTTTCTTACACCCAACGTCTCGCTTGCCTGCACAGAGCAAACTGTGGTCGCGGAAGGGTGAGGGCGGCGGGCCCGTGTCCAGGGCAGAGCTGGCCATCGCCCTGCTCTCTGCACCCACGCACCCACTGGGCAGCCCTGCAAGCCCCGCATCCTGAGTTTGGGCTCCACACGTGACTTGCTTGGCCTAGGCATCTAACAGGCATGCCGACAGGCGCTCCGCAAGCGCCCTGCCTGGCACAGGCCGCGGCTGGAGGAGGGCACGCTTCGGCGGCCTGGGCAGTCAGCGGCCTCCGGAGCCGGCACATGGCCTCTCTTCCTGGATGCTTCCTCTGCAATGGCCTGTGCAGATGGGAAGTGATGTCGGCGCCCACTCAGCCCAGCCCCTAGTGCCCGCCTGAGGCGTCCTCGTAAGTAAAGCAAAGCCTATGGCCTGAAACCGCTGAGTTTAGGGGAGAGGGGCTTGCATTGCAGTGTTATTGTCACAACAGACAGTGACACAGCACAAACACTGAGGGGGAGAGTATACAAATGGACGATGTCCAGTCGGACATGACAACAGAACTGAGGCCACAACCTCAGCAGCAACCAGCCCCAAACGGCAGGCCCGGTGGTGACTGCAGCCTCTATATGTCTGGACTCAGGACCAGCCGAGAAAGCCAAACACACCCAGCCCAGTCGGAGAAGTGTCCCTCTTCTATTCAGCCCCCCATGCCCACTGCCTGCATCAGGCACCCCACGCCCCGTTCCCCCTGCGGTGCCCTCCCCCCGCCCTGGCCGACCCCTTGGCCCAGCAAGCTCTGAATGAAGGGCCTGGGTGCTCTCACTTGCGAGTCCCTTGTCTCCAGAACAGGCAGGAGTAGAGAAGGGGACATGATTACAGGCGACAACAAAGCCACGGCCAGGAACCAAAGGAGGGGCCCCGGGCCCGACCATGGCTGTGTGAATAAACAGGACCAGACTGAAAACCAGAGTGACCTTCGCTCACTTCAACTTGGACTTTTAAAGCAGGCTTTTCTTTGCATATGATTTTACATTCTTCAGTGTGTTCCCAAGGGCTCCTCTTAATCCCTCCACTGGCAAACCTGGTCTTTTGAAGCTCCTTCCCGGCCAGCGCCCTTGTCAAATCATCACCTGGCCTAATTCTCCCAGATCTCCAGTCAGCGGCGGCTTTACCTGGAGTCCACCGGCACTTTCATCAGCTACATTAAATCCCGAGCCTTTCACAAGGCTTGTCATTCAGCTTTGCAACCTATTTGCCTTGTGTTCTTAACAGTTTATGGTGTCCTCTGTCTGTGAGACTCACAAAGAGGCCGATGGCACAGTGACAGCGAGGCGTGGGAGGGTGTTTGCACAGAGCTCATTTTATAAATGGGTGAGCAGAGCAATGGGATAATGCAACGGGGATATCAATACCTTCATGTTTTCTTAATCTCCCCCACATTTTAGAAAGATCATTTAGAAACAAAAATTTGTAGTACAAGATTTTTATCTAAAACTCGATACTTTTTATTTAAAATAGCCACCCAGCTATGCACAGGCCTTGGGATCTGCTCTTGAGAGTTACTCTGGGTCGTGAGATTTAGGTGCAAACATGTTTACTTCCTTCTTTGTATAACTGCATAGTGTGAGGAATTTTATGACAAATATCTATCACTTCACAGCAAAAGCAAAAGACAAACTTGTCTCTAGTGTAAGTGTGGGTCCACCTCCTCCTCAATCAGAAGACAGGCTCCACGGCTGTCAGTATCTGGCCACATTCCTGCATTGCTTCTGCACAGACAAGACACAGAGTAAGATTCCCCTTCATCCAACACTTACCCACACACATAGCCCTTCCATCATGGCTGCCCGTCCTATGAGATGTGCGGCACAATGACCCTTCTTGTCACGTGTGTACACACACAGCCCTTAAATACAGTCCACAGAACAGCTGATTTCTTCAGCACAGTGGGGGCGTGGGCGCAGCCTGTTCACTCTAAGCCAGTGGTTCTCAACCTTCCTAATGCCGTGACCCTTTAATTCAGTTCCTCATGTTGTGACTCCCAACCATAAAATTATTTTCGTTGCTACTTCATAACTGTAATTTTGCTACTGTTATGAATCGTAATGTAAATATCTGATATGCAGGATGTATTTAGGCGACCCCTGTGAAAGGGTCATTCAACTGCCAAAGGGGTCGCGACCCACAGGTTGAGAACCGCTGCTCTAAGCACATCCGTGTCCTTCTCCAAGCAACTCAACAGAGCAGCCGACACGTCTTGCTGCCCACTGGTTCTCTAACTTCCTCTTCAGACCAGTATCAAAGTATCCTGTTGTGACCGGAATTCTACAATAAACGCGCCATGCGAGGGCTTGCACACGGGTCTGGGCGGGACGAGGTGTGCACAAAGAGGGTGCTTGGAAGTCGCACATGCTCTGCATCCGGGCCATTTCCTAGGCCCCTCTTTAAACAAACAAGCAAAAACGCTAACCCAACATAAAACACCAACCACTGAGAGCTGCGGGGAGTGCGACGTGCTAATGATCCCCACCCAAGAACGCCGCTCCCGGCCATGCGTCTTAGGCCAAGGATGGGACTGCATCTTGAGGAGGACTAAGGAGGGTATTCCTCACACCCTGCCTTCAATGCCCATCTTGTCAGCCCGGCTTCTGTCAAGAATTACAGAGTTATAGCTGCAAGGTTAAATTTTCAAACAAAAGCCTGCAGAAAAATATTTCGTGTAGCTAACAAGAAACACCCATGTCTGCCCAGGCCAGTGTGCTCAGTGGGTTAGAGTGCCAGCCCATGCACCAGAGGGTCTTGGGCTCCATTCCTGGTCAAGGACATGTGCCTGGGTTGCAGGTTCGATTCCCAGCCTGGTCAGGTGAGTGTGGGAGGCAGCGATGTTTCTCTCTCTTATTCCCCTCCCTCCCTCCCTTCCACGCTCTCTTTAAAAAAAAAAGGAAAAAAAATCAATAGAAAAAAATGTCCTCCAGTGAGGATTAACAAAAAAAAGAAACACCCATTTCTTTGGGATAGAGCATGCAGGTAGTAAAACTGTCGTGAAATGTTAAGTATGTGGATAGAGGAAAGGAATACATGGATATAAAGAGTTCACACACATGGGAGGTTTTCATCACACCACAGCCCTGCGGTGGTGACAGTACACCTGTTTATCAACTGAATACTCCCCGTTACAAGTAACAGAAAAACAGACAAAAACTGGCTGAAGCGTGAAGGGACTTCAGTCACTCAGGTGAGTGAGAAGACTGAGAGGCGTGTTAGCAGCAGGCTGAAACGACAGCGCCAGGGCCGGCCTCGTCCCAGCCTCCACTCCCTGCCCAGGCGCCCCCCGAGGCCCTGGTGGGTCCTCAGCAGCTCCGGGCTCTCACTGGATGAGAGAGCCAGCACCACTGTCATCTCCAGGCTCTTCTTGTTCATCCTCAGTAGGAAGAATTAAAGGAATTTTCCAGTAGCTTCCACTAACACACTGAGTCCATCCAGTCAGCCTGCCTCGGTCAGATATCCATCCCAGGTAAGTAGCGCTGCCAGGGCACTGTGACCTCCTGACCAGCTTAGGCTGGTCATACGTTTCATCCCAGAATCCCCAGGGCTCTCTGACTTATGATGGGGTTACAACCTAATGAAGCCATCGTAAGTTGAAAATGCCGTAAGTGGAAAACGGATTTTAACACTACACTGTAGAGTACTGGCTGTGTGCCTCATGGTGGCCTGGCTGACCGGGGCTGCGGCTTACCGACGCTGCCCAGCACCACACAGCATCTTACTGCCTATCCCCAGCCTGGGCAAGTGCAAATTCAAAGTTAGCGTATGGTTTCCACCAAATGCACACGCTTTCGCACCACTGTCCAGCTGAAAAATCATGTTGCCGACGTGTGCACATATACATACAGAGAAGTCTGATATAAATGTAACCGGAATCCAGAGCAGAGAAGGGTGGGGCGGAGGCAGAAAAGGCAGTGGAGCCAATAAATGGTTGCCCTGACCAGTGTGCCTCACTCGGTTGGGCACCCACCCATGCACCAAGAGGTCGCCGGTTCCGTTCCTGGTCATGGCACATGTCTGGGTAGCAGGCTCGGTGGGGGTGCAGGATGCAGCCCATCGATGTTTCTCTCTCATCAATGTTTGTCTCTCTGTCTCTCTGTCTCTCTCTCAATAAAAACATATTTAAAAAGTAAAAATAAATGGCTCAAGTTTTGTCAAATGTCCTGAAAACTGCAGATCCAAGAAGCCAGTGACCTCCCAGCACAAAGCTTAAAAGAAAACCCGCAGGGCCCCTAGAAGCACCGTATCTTAGGGAGCATGGTGGGGGCCCTCTGGCCAGGGGAGCATGCGCAGTGCGGCCCTGTGCCCGGGGCCGGCAAGCATGCGCAGAGTAGCCATGTGCAGAGAGGGGTTGCGCCTGACCCCCAGGCCGTGTCCAGAACTTGTCACTGGCAAGACTGGCCTTTGAGCATGCGCACTGGGGGGGGAGGGGGGTGACTGCGGAGGCGGCAGTTGCTAGGCAACGGCGAGCGGTCACAAAGGTGGGGAAGCAGGCCGTGGTGGGGGCGGGGAGGACTGGGGTCGGTTACCTGAGCGGGTACCACCCAGAGCTAGAGGTGAGCCGCAGGGCGCTGTGGGCAGCAGGTGAGGAGGCGGGGCTGGCTCCTGGGCCACGCCCGCCCGGCAGGGAGCCCCTCCGTCCAGGGCAGCCCAGGGTGACCTGCCTTGGTGAGGCCTAAAAATATCAACAGTCTGAAATCGGTGATTTTTGAAACCTATCGCTACCCGATACTTAAGAGGGAATAAGAGGGAACCGAATCCAAAGGCCTGGCCGTGTTTTTGCAGAGAATTTAACAATTTAATTTTACATTTGTCTGTATGCTTCTGGCCGTACCAGCTGTGATCTCACCAAAAACGCGCAAACAAGGAATTCACAAGTTACGAAAAATAAGACAGTATGACCAATTGTACTTAAAATGGTATATCTCTTATGTGCGTGTTTTTAATTGGCACGTTTATTAATTAGCTTAAGGTCACTTAAACAAATTGGTAACTAATTACTTTGGCACCACAATGGTATTTTTCGTTACCAACCTACCTCTTGGTAATACTGGAGTTTACAAAGAAAGAATATTCCTATTAACTTCAGCTCTTAATATGGGGCAAGGGTTAAGTTTCTAAGAGCCAAGCCCAGAGTCTTGCAGCAGCCTGGAGGGACGTGGGCAATAATGACCATTTACAGAGTATCTTGGGTGTGAAAGGCCTGCAGAAGACACTTTGCAAAAACTGCCTCCTGTAATCACAACACTAACCCTGCCAAGTGTGTGTGTGATTGTACCTGTTTAAAGGTGAGGAAGCTGACTCATATGCAAAGTAAACTGCCCGGCAAACAGGTGGGGCAAGGCTGGACCCCCAGGGTGCCCCCGCACGGGGTGTGTGTGTGTGTGCGTGTGTGTGTGTGTGTGTGTGTGTGTGTGTGTGTGCGCTGTGGCCACATTCAGGTGAGCCAGCGTTCCTCTCTGCCCCCTGCATTCACTGCATTCACTGTCCCCTTTCTCCCGGGGCGAGAAACACGTGCTGTAGTGTGTTCACTTCCCGCGTCCTCCAGGCCCCTGCGAGTGCTCTCTCTGGAGGAGTCTTCAATCGGTCTTTGACCAGAGGTTTTTGCACTCCTGTGTAACACCGTTCTGTTGTCTCGCTCTCCTGTGCAGTCTCCCCCTGACTTGCTGTGGACTGTTTCTAAGTAGAAGAATGAAAGGAATGCAATACCATGCTGAAAGAGTTTGATAGAGCCAAGCAAGTGGCAACGCTCTGACTTAGCATGTTAAAAAATAAGGTATACAATTCTTTTCTGAAACATACACCTGGTTGTGGTCATGGATGTGTTTTACTTCAGCTATATAAAAACAGCTGGCAAGCCTCACTTCACTGAGGAACTGCCCACTGTATTCACTGCACCTCTTAGCTGCGTGGCAATTTTATTCCATTGAGTTTTCACCAAAAAAGCATCTACTAAATGCAAGGTGCTCCAGTACAGCAGAGCAAGATTGGCCTGCAGTCTAACTTAATTAGAGTGAGACAGAATGTGTTTAGGCACGCACACCCTTTATAGCAGCGGGCGCCAACCGTTGGACCTCACGGACCGCCAGAGGTCCGCAGACCACCGGTTGGTGACTGCCGCTTTCTAGGTCATAATGAATTTATCTGCATTGTAATTAATCCGCAGAGGCCAAATGAACAGCTGTGACTATGTTATCACCATAATGAGGAGACGGCTCTGCTCCCATCCAGCGACAAGG